GCGATGTCTGTCGAAGATTTAGGAATGGATATCATTGCTGCTTCCCAATGAGCCATAAATTACTCCATTATCAGGTGGACAATAAACATGTAGTCAGATACGTGTTATTGATTTTTACTTTGCTTTACTTTGTGACATACTCCATAGTATAATCAATTGCCACCTCAGTGAAAGGGAAGCTTTGGTGGATGTACATGGCGACTCTGCCTCCACCCCTACCCTCTCGATCCTTCTGATACTGATGGTAGTTCCTCAGCGAAAAGACCTCACTTGACACGAGGTTGATCAAATGCGTTTCTTGGAGAACTATAACATCAAGAGTAAGAGAAGGCTAATAATCTAAGGTCAATTACTTTAGCTCTAAGACAGTTCCATGGTATAATTGTTAACATGAATTTTACATTTTATGGAGTGTGGAAGTGCCTTGTCCACCAGTTTTAATTTTCTTTTTTCCAGGAGGGAGGTTCGTCCTCCTCTCTCTCACTACCCTGGGTATTTTTTAAGACAGTAACCTTCATGTCCTGCATCTCGCTTCCAGGGAGACGCTTAATAGATGATCTGTTCTGAGAAACAGACCCAAAAATCAGGCAAAGTCCTAGCAGGAGCCCCCTGGACGAAGTGTCATCAAGAGTGTGTTTTGGTATTATTCTCCTTATAATGCTGCTGAGGCTGCTTTTGCTGGGTAGATTCAGCAATTTATTGAATTGTATTATTCGGTTCTTTACTCTGACTTATTAATTCTTTAACTGTTTCCTTTAACTCTGCAATTTCTTTTATCTTTAGTCACAAGCTCCTGACTGATGCTGTTTGAATTGGGAGTTTTGTTAGTTGCTGCTGAAGTGTAGGAAGTATTGGGTTTGCTGGTCACACCTTCAACTTTCCTCTTGGCTTCACGGTAACTAACAGCATGCCCTCTCATGTCTCCTTCTTCAAGCTGCTACACACGGCAGAGCCAGACTTGAGAGTGTTCTTAATACATTCAGCAGTGTCATGAGTCCTTGCACCTGTACCACAAGTAAATTTACTAGTATCTTTATCACCGCATCGTAATGAGGTGTGTCCAAATTTTTGGCATCTATTACAGTGCATAGGATTTTTAATATAAGGTCGCACTTGGACATATTCGTATCCAACTATGACATACTCAGGAATTTTACCTTGGTTTTTGTTTGCACATTTCAGTCTTTCTTGGTCATACAGTTGACATCTACTACACTTTAGTCCTTCATAATTGTCCATTGTCTTCGAATCCCTGTTAAAGATTAATCCTTTGCAGGTATTGGGCCAATAGGGATAGTTACTTTAACTTTCAAATCATGAATCTGCATCAATTTAATTAACCTGGGAGTTGAATGGCACTTTTACAAGGTTACCATCTCGCAATTTACGGACCAAATCAAAATCGCTGTCTGTTCAAAAGCGATTGATTTTCATTTCACTCTGGGCCCGTGCCCGTTATCCTGAAAATAACCCTCAACTATTAATGATCAACCTAACGGCAATAGCTAAGAGAAGATTATTGCAGTTTCTGTCCTCTACCTCCCCAGTGGAAGCCTGGTTGCATTCCCCAGCACCAAAGAGGGATTGAGTTCTGTGGGAAGACACCTTACTGTATATCCATATATGTATATCTATATATGTATGTGTAAGTATATCTATATATATGTATATCTATATGTGTAAGTATATCTATATAGGTATAAGTATCTATCTATGTATAATCATCTATGTATATATATCTACCTATACAGTATATAAATATGTATCTATATATAAGTATCTATATATATCTATGTATACAAATCTATCTATATAAATATCTAACTATACAGAAGTCTAATATATATATATATATATACTCCTTTAATTTTTTTAAGTTTACAATTTTTGAATTTCTACTCTTTT